ACCACAACATGAGGAACTGTATTAAAGGGTCGCGGCATTAGGAAGGTTAAGAACCACTGCCCTAGCTGGTTGGCAAGTCAGCAGGCCGACCTCTTCCCTGAGGGCTGGGAAGGCTGGGCTGGGCCCCAAGGCGCCTGGGGCTGAGTCTCCCTCACTTTCTGCCTCAGCCCAAAGCCTCAGCTGGAGCAGGGCCGCCAGCCACATTGGCCCCCAACCCACAGATTTGACTGGGGCAGCCCTTCCCCCGAGTGGGGGCCTGCTTCCTAGGCCTGATTAGGAAACCGGGGACCCCCTCTTTTAACTAAGAGCAGCCCAAGCACATGGGGCTCCTCCTCCCTGTGAAGCCGGTGCCCTTGCACACCGCTTGTCCCTTGCCCACACTTTCCAAACTGCTTGTCCTTGGCAGAAAAATCCAGAATGTTATGACAGTGCCAGAAGTTTCATAAGATATCATTCTTTTATGAACTAAAAGTATATATTTGGCTGGAATACATGCTGGGGAGGAATAGAGAGGAATTTTCTCTCAAGCACTTCCTTTGTCATTCTATAAAGACTCTTGACCCAACAGTTTCAACTCTTCAAAAAATTCCTAAGAAAACTCCTTTGCCTCTCCCCCACCCACCCAGGTCATTTCCGTTTTCTGTTCAAACCCGTGGTGTGGGGTCCTCCCCTGCGCTTCCTCTGCACCAAGCTCTGAGCTAAGTGCTTAAATATGTGCCCTCATTCAATCCCTGTGGGGAGGCAGCCCTGTGGGGAGACGTTGCTTATCCTCCTTTTACAATGAGAATTCGGTGGCTCGGTGAGTTTAAGTCACTGGCCCAGGATCACACAGCTTGTCAGTCAGAAGGCCGAGCTTCAAAGACAGGTCTGAGCAGGCCTGAAGCCTGGTCCACCTCTCAGGCATTCTTGCTCCCAAGGCTCCCCAGAGAGGGTCCTGCTAAAGTCCCCAAGCAAACAGTGGACACGGGTAAAACCAAGCCCCTTCCCCTGAAACCTTCTCACTCCCTTCTCTCTGCAGGAAACTGTGCCCACTACCAGAAGGGAGGCTGGTGGTATAATGCCTGCGCCCACTCCAACCTCAACGGGGTTTGGTACCGCGGGGGCCATTACCGGAGCCGCTACCAGGATGGGGTCTACTGGGCTGAGTTCCGAGGAGGCTCCTACTCACTCAAGAAAGTGGTGATGATGATCCGGCCCAATCCCAACACCTTCCACTAAGCCAGCTCCCTCCAACCTCGTGGCCTGGTCTTTGCCGGGAGCCTGCCCGCCCCCACGCAGGCCCAGGACACAAAGCAACTCCTCGCCAGTTCACCGGAGCCAGGAGGACTGGGACCTGGAGGACTGGGACCTGGATTCTGTCCCAGTCACTGCAGCAGATCACGGACCTGAACAGTACAGTATTCTCTGTCCCTACACTCCTTCACACCAGACAACCCTCGCGTTTCCCAACAGGACGGGACTGCAGACCAGTCTTTCTTTAAATAAATTAAGGTCTACAATAAAAGCACAACTGCAAAATACCTTCATGATATACACGTGTATGAGCCGATCTTGCCCACCTAAGTGTATGCCACATACATATGCATTTAGATATATGGCACATGTAATATATCTAGATACATACAGAGGTTTGCCTTACATACCTAAATACACAGTCAACCCTCGCGTGCTGACGCTCTTACCAGCATCATTACTCCTGGAGAAAGCCTTTCCTGAGTCGCGGTGCTTGTGTCTAAGAGCAGACCAGACCGTGCCGCTCCCATTCAAATATCAGTCCTTGGCGTCCACGAGCTGAATCCTTCCAGAAATGTCCACAGCGCGATCCTCTCTCAGAGGGGTTTCCAACTTAAGAACCCCTTTGGGCACCTAATCAATTTTGAAATCCCCCTCCATCTCTGTTTCTATACGCCCCCTATTCTCAGGACTTTCGCCATCTGTCCATCCACCCCTCCACTTACTCATTCGCTCAACAGCATTCAGTAAACCCTTGTGTGGGTCACTCCTTGGCCACTCACTCTACTTCCAGGCACCTTTCTGCTCTGCTCTTCTCCTTGCCTTTCTGTCGCACCCTCCTCTCCTTCTAGGAAAGATTCCTCAGCCTCTGAGGAGGAGACAGCTGGGGCTCCAGGTTTCTGGCCAGGAAAGGGAAGGCCAGGCCCAAAGCTAACTACCAGTCACAAAGATAATGTACTCACAGTTTTGTATTTCCCAGTCACACTTTAGCCTACATGTCATCTTAACCTTCACAGAAATAATAGCCTACCATGCCCAGGAGGTACTCAAGGAAAGAAAAGTCATCATCTGACCACTGGGACCCCAAATGGCTGCAGACCAAAAGGCCCATGCTCTCAGGCCAACTAGAGTCCGTGTCTCATCCCCAAACTACACTTCCCGGAGAATGCAGGTGCCACAAAGATGAGAACTGGCCATTTCTTGTGAGTTATTGAATAACCAGGGGCCACCGGCCCCCTTGTTCATTGCATTACAGCGAGGTGGCTCTCCAAGTCCTGTTGGCCATAGAGGGTCACACTCAGTCCTACGGAACTATTGCCAAGCGGGAGCAGGAGAGGAGTCAAGGTGAGACCCTCCCAGTGGGTGAGTGGGTGGGGGCGTGCAAGCCGTTGGAACATTGGTACTGTCCATGTCTGGGTGTGTGCCTATTACCTCAGCATTCTCGCAAAGTGTACCATGTAGCATGTTTGTGTATATAACAGGGAGGGTTTTTAAAAAATATATTCCCAGATTATCCTTGTAATGGCACAAATCTGCAATAAAGCCATCAGTGCTATTTGGATGTATCTGCACTGTGTGTCACTGTTTGTGAATGCCTTCCTGGGACCTCTGATATAAGAGCCTCTTTAAGTAAGAGATGCAGCAGGAGGGACACACACCAGTCATTTAAATCCCACCCTCCCTGCCTCTGGTTTCCACTCATGCCCCAGGAGTCCCATGACAGCACCTCGGGCCAAAATGATCCTCTGGTGCTCCACCCCCTTACACCGTCCTGTCCTGGACGTCTGGAGACCCTCACAGGCATGTGGTCACACCTAAACACCTTCCTCCAGGTCTAGTCCCATTTTGCCAAATGGCACCATCTACTCAATTGCTCGGGTCAAAAATAAGGACGCCTCTCTCCCCCTCATCAAGGTCCATCCATCCCTCCCCTCTGCCTCAGTATAGGTGCCCTTCTCCTCTCCCCTCCACTATTGCAACCCTCAGCTCCTCCCTTCATTCCAAACCGACTTCTACACTAACTGCCAGAACCACCTTCCTATAAATCAAGTCCATGCGCCGGGAAGCATCTCTAGAGCATGATGGGGAAACCCAAAACCATAAAGGAAAAGGTTAAGGGACATAACCCAAGAAAGCCCCACATTTTCTGCCCTCCAAATAACCAAGCATGACTAAGATTGAAAGGCAAATATGAAACCAGAGAAAAATACAGAATTAATACTCATGCTACACCAACAACTCTTCCAAATTAAGAAGATACAAACACTGTGACAGAAAACTTGGTGAAATACACGAACACATTAGAAGACTCACAAGTGGCCAGTACACAAGAAAAGACTCCAGCCTCAGTAATAACTAGAGTGGTGCGCTGAATCAAGCCAAAACCATCTCATGGTGCCTACTGGATTGGCAAAGGTGAAAAACAGTCAACCTCCATGTAGACAAGGAAATGGAGACATATGTGCTCTATATACCCTGGATGGAAGTATAAAGTGACTCAATATTTTTAAAGACAATTTGGCAATGTATGTATCAAAATTTTAAATGCCCTTATACCTTTGAACCTAACAATCCTCTTCTTAATGAACATATGGGAGCTTTTTCTGGCCAAGTTGTAGCTGGGGATTGGTGTTTACTGACACCTCCTGTGGGCCTGGAATTGCACTTCTGTTTTCTTATGTGACCTCACAGCAGCCTGTGAAGGAGGTGTTCGCACTTCACAGAAGAGAAAGTGAGGCTCACCGTCAAACTGCTGGTAAAAACACCCAGCAGCAGTTAATCCAGAAGGTTCTCAGCTCCTTTCTCCCAAACCCCTAGTCAGTTTTGGGGGTCACAGTGGAATCTGGAAGCTATTTTGACCTTGGCCCAGACCACGGCCACCCCTCCCCACATACCTGGAGTGGAGTGTGGGGGATGGAAAGGTCAATGGTAGAGGAAAACAGGGTCCAACCTTCAGTCATTGGTCTGAGCTCTGACAGCTATGCCAGACAAGGTGGAGCCACCCTTTGCTAAACCAGTGAGCTGGCCCCTAAACTAGAGCAGGCTGTGACACCAGCTGTTTCTCCCAGCCCCAACCCAGCACCCAAATCTGAGTCTTGGTCAAATAATGGCCTGGCTATAGGGAAGGAGGAAGGAATAAGCCCATCAGAGATGTGGAACCCACTCTCCTTAGAGCAAAATGGGGAGGGGGGAGACAGCTTAGCAAACCAAGGACATCAAAGGAGAGAGCAAGGAGACAGGAGGGAGCTGTGCTCAAGTGCACTGGCCCAGCGAGCTGCTCCCCACCAGCAAACACGCCAGCCAGTCAGCACCCCTGCATCAACACTCCTCCTCCTCACCCATCCTTCCAGTGACCTTTAGGGCCTCCAGAAATAGGAGTGCTCCTGGTACTCAGGTCTCCATGGTGAGTGCACCTCCAGACCCAGAAGGAAGTCAGTGAAACCTGGCCAAACCCCCACGTCCCAGTTTGGGCCAATACCTTGGTCACTGGAGGGCACCCACTTGCTGGGCATGTGTGGGGAATGTGGCAGGAAGACAATGGTGTTCTCCAAGCCAGCGACCCCCAACAGGACCTTCCCCCAAACCGTGCCAGTATGAACAAGATTGAAAGAGAAACCTTCAAATTATGTAAACAATGTTTACGATGCTCATGACCCACAGAGGCTCTTTGGGAGCTCAGGGCCTCCCATGACTCCCCAAGGCCACCTCATCTGTTTTACAGTCTTGTAAACTCTCTTGGTTACCCTAAGAGAAAGCCAGACAACTGGATTAAACAAAAACGGGGACATTTTAAGTGTAACAAAATGATAAATGGGCACTCTTTCTGCCTTGGTTTTATCCAGACTCCTACGGCTAGTTATAGCCCACATGCAAAACCCTCTCTGCAGGGCATGGCCCCAGACTGGTTCTACAGCATAAGCACACTGCCCACCCGTAGCCTGAGAGAGGAGTGCAGAAAACTTTGGGGGGTGAGTTGTCCCCCACTGCAGGGATGGGGGGTACTCCCCTCACCCTGAATCAAGTGAGAAGGACTTCAAGGGACCACTGCAAGAGTTTGGCATGGGCAAGCATGGGCATGACCACCTGACTCATGCCTCGCATCCACAGGCCCGAGGCAGAGAGCAGTGAGAAGCTGGCCGCACTGGGAGCAAACAGCAAGCCCATGTTGGGGCAAGGACAGCAAGGTCCCAGATCTCCTAGGAACCAGAGGGCAGCCTGGCTGGGGCGTGGGGGTGGGGACCGTGCCGGAGGCCCAGGAGCGAATCAAGGAGTCTTAAGTGATCAGCTGGAGGAAAAGCATCACCCCTCAGGGCAGCTGAGTCAGTGGTGGCCAGAAGGGCAAATTGGAAGCAGCAGCAGCCAAAAGGGAGAAAAGATAGCAAAGAGGGAAAAAGACAGAGTGGGCACAAGTCCTAGATGCCACAAAAGATGGCCCCTTACCCTTCACTTCCCCCTCAGCCCCAAGGGCACACCTTGGTGAGGCAGGCAAGTGGGGGGAGCAGGCCTAGGGGCCAGTGAAGGCTCTCCTGAACCCTCCCCCCCAGGCCACCCTCCCCCCGCCAGGCCTCCCAGTGTCTGGTCTGGCTCTAGAATCCAACCTTCTGATTATGACTGGACTGTCTGGAATGACGTGACTGTTAGGATGTGACTGTTAATTTGCATCCTCTGCACACACAGGAGGCAACAACGGGGCCTTTTCATGCCTAACAGCAGACAGATGAGTTTTCAGTGTCGCTGGGAATAAAACTAGTCTGCAGAGTAGGCTGGGAAGGACATTGGGGAAATAGTAAAGTAGGTTTCTTCTTACACCTGACTGAGTCCAGCTCATTTAATAAGTTGGTTACGTAAGGCCACGAGGTATCCCCCGAGGCCATGAGCAGGGACACAGCTGGGCCTCACCAGGGCCAGGAACCAGGAACGGCCTGGAAGGCCTTCAAGGGGCAAAGCAGCAGCTTTCTCCTCTCCCTTTCCCTTTCCTCTTCCTGGCCTGCGGGTCTCTTTCTGTTTCTCAGTGTGCGTCCATCTGCTCTTCGCAGCCCGGAATTCTGAGCTCACATGTCCTCTGAGTGCCAGCAGATTTACAAGCACCCCTCCATCCCTACGTCAACTCTGGCCTGAGGGTCCGCCTGGCCCCTGGGGGGTGTCCGCCTCGGCACAGAGTGGGCGAAATGAACAGGGCTGTGGAGTTCAATGCTGGCGGAGGGGTGGGGCAGTTCCCAGGTTCCCGGAAAAGGAGGGGTCATGGGTTGGGTCTATACCTAAGATTATATCCCAGCTCTTGTTGGTCCCCATCCCCTCCAGGGACTGTATTCTGCTAGATGAATTCCATCCTACTGCTGGTTAGAGTGTGTCCTACTCCCCAGCCCTCCACACTGACCCCAGCCCTACCCCAGAAAGCACATCCAACCTTCCAGGCCCACCTAGGTCACTAAACATCCTGCCCCTCCTGGATACACTGAGCTTCTCAATAGTCTCTATGGATTAGTCTCAGGTCCCCACGGTGGGGGTCTTCCTGGCAGCATTCTGCTCTGGATAACATTCATGCCAGCTACCTTCTGTGGGGCATCACGCATGTCTCTTTAAACTCTCACCACAACCCGCTGAGGTGGGTTCTATAATTACCCTCCTTTTGACACAACTTTGAGGCTCAGAGAAGTCAGTGACTTGCCCAGGAACATGCTGCCTGGGACACTCAGGATTTGAGACCCTCTTTCACCTATTATCACCCCCTTGTATGGCTAAGAATCTTGGCAGCATGGAGCCTCCTGCCCCAGGAGAGGGTATGTGAGATCGCCAGCCAGCCTGTCTGTGCAAAAGGAGCTGGATGGACAGGAGGTCCCCAGATGTCAGAAAGCCAGCCCAGGGCTATTTCCCCAATTTATTTCAGAGCAGTGGGCAGGGCACAGAATAACAGAGGGCAGTGATGGGGAATATCCCACAGCTCCTTGGGGCTCCCACCCCTTTGCCAGGACTAAAGCTATTGGGCCCTGCCTCTCTCCCTCCCTTTTGTGGGACAAGAGAGCTGCTTGTCCTACAACCTACAGCCACAACCCCACCCTCTGGCACTCATAGTGTCCCACTGTGGCTGGTCTGGCTGTCACCTCATGCACCAGTTCCACCTGGTGGAAGTCCTGGTCCACATGCTCTGGTAACTGGGTCCCTGATGTGGTGGCTCATCTTCCATCTCCATGCCTTCAAACCTGGGGCTTGCTCACCTCTCCGAACCCAGAGTCAGGCCTGAGCCAGCCCCAGCCTGGTAGTTGCCACTTGTGGACACAATGCCTTCGTATCAACCATCGCGAAGACATCCAAATGTCCTGTCTCTCCCGACCTGGGGCATCCTGGGCCAGCTCAGCCTATACCTGTGACCTTGACAGAGATAACCCCTCCCGTCTGTGCAGCCTTCCCCAAGCACTTCCACACGCGGCACCTCCGGGTGGTGGCCCATCTGGCGGTCCCACCCCCGGCTCGTTGGTCCTGCTACATCTGGCTGCAAGGGCTGGTCGAGGGGTGCTCCCTTCGCCCCTGCTTTAGCACAGGAGCCCTCCTGAAGCTGAGGGACCGC